CGGTACGGGGGCAACACTGAGGGTTGCGATCCGTTGCCGGTCACGGAAAAAGACAAAAGACAAAAAAAAAGAATATTTTAGTTCATGTCTTCTTTTTCTAAGAATTTTTTATCTGAAAAAATATCACTTTTTGCCCTGATTCAAGCCTTATTACTATTTTTTAGAAAGATTGAAGTTGGGAGCACTAATCTGGGACACTTGATTGATAATGCCAACACTGAACCAAAAAGTTTCTGGTTTGAGGCATATTTTGTATGTTACTATTGTATTTTACTTTTAAAAACATCTATACGGTGTCTTTACCTGCCTTTTGTGAGGAGCAAATTAAAATTTAAATGTGAAAATAATTTGAAAACTTAAGTATTATGCAGAAATGATTATTGTTTCAACCTGCAACTGAGAACCTACATTCATTTCATTGATTCACTTATCTATTCCTTCAACAAGCATCTATTAGGAAGTATTAAACACTCTCATATACGTTGCACTAAACACCAAGAACTGAGAAATGTGTACATTGGACCCCCTTTTCTGAGAAGAACATGTTCTTGCAGGGAACAGACACTTCCTCTTTCTTTCTCCACAGAACCAGAGAATGTGTGGCTGGCTGATGGTCCTGGGCGCTGCCAGGGCCGAGTGGAGCTAAAGCACGAAGGCCAGTGGAGCACAGTGTGCAAAACAGGCTGGAACCTCCAAGCCACAAAGGTGTTGTGCCGGCAGCTGGGATGTGGGAAGGCCGTACAAACCCACAAACGTTGCAACAAGGATACCCGGGGCCACGGACCCATCTGGCTGAGCCAGATATCATGCTCAGGAAAAGAAGCAACTCTTCAGGATTGCCCTTCTGGGCCTTGGGAGAAGAACAACTGCACCCATGATGAGGACACGTGGGTTGAATGTGAAGGTAATGGCTATGCGTCCAGTCAGTAGTCCATTCATGGATTTGATTAAATAGAATCCCATTCAAACAATATTTACAGATAACTACTCATGCATCAAATGACCATTGCAAACTTATTTGATTATCCTGATCCTCAATTCTTTTGTGTTTAAAATGGAGATAAAAATATGTGCCTTTGTATATAAAAAAACATTGAATAATATGTTAATACGATCTGTTATTATATTGAATTCGGTATAATAGAGACAGGGCATACCATTCCATGTATCTATTGAGTTCTTCAATTTTTAAAAACTACTACGAAGTCATCTATAAATATTAAATTTATAAAGTAGATGGGGAAGTGAAAAGATCCTAGTTAAGGAAATGGACATGGGCCATGGGGTTTGAAACCTGATGCAGACCTAGAGAAGGAGCTGTAATCACAGAAATACATGTAGAGGGTTTCAAATGTGCTGATGGGGTTTGGGTGAGGATGTAGATGATCTAATTTTTTAGAGGATGTAGATGATCTATTTTTTTCTCCTTAACGTTCCTCTCTCCAATCCCCAATTTCCTCCACTACCCTGCAGATGCCTTTGCCTTGAGGCTGGTAGGAGGAGACAACTCGTGCTCTGGGCGCTTGGAGGTGCTGCACAAGGGTGTGTGGGGCTCTGTCTGTGATGATGGCTGGGGAGAAAAGGAGGACCAGGTGGTATGCAAGCAGCTGAGCTGTGGGAAGTCCCTCTCTGCATCCCCCAAAGTTCGGAAAAACTACAGCCCTGGGGTTGGCCGCATCTGGCTGGATGATGTTCGTTGCTCGGGGGAGGAGCAGTCCCTGGAACAGTGCCAGCACAGGTTTTGGGGGTATCACGACTGCACCCACAAGGAAGATGTGGCTGTGATCTGCGCAAGTAAGTCCTATAGCTGGAGTTCATCAAGGCTGACGTGGAGGGCGATGGAGGAATAAGGGAGGTGAACACGGGTAGCTCTACCAGGGCTGTAGAGCTGCCCACAGCATCACCTGCTCCACACACACTTCCAGAGATATGACTGAGGCATTCTAGTAGTGTTTTTTGGGGGGCTTATAGAGGGGGGTAAGGCTGACACCAGAAATACAATTTTAAAAAAATTATTGAATGTGAGAACAAGAGGGGTTTTGAAAATTATCAGATCAATACTCTTATATTAAATATGAAAAAAAGGTGGGTCAGAGAAAATAAGCAACTTTCCAAAATTGTAAAAATAGTGTTCAAATCATACAGCAGAACTATAATGACCAGTCTTTACTGTCAACCCAGGGTTAGTTCTCTTAGGTGACCAAACTCCTCAAACCCTCAGCTTAAACTATGGAAGGTGGTCTCACCTCATTCTGTTTGTTGTCACTTCCCAGATTTTAAGTTAGCCTGTGGGAGTGGGGCTGTGGTAGGGGCTCTTTGAGAATGTCCATGAGAGAGTCTTATCAGAGAGGCCGGCATACCAGCCTTGAACTGTAGGCATCTTCAAGAGAGTGAAAGAAGAAGCCTTGTCCCAACTTGGGCCAGGAAATGCAAGAGCTTCCCCTGGGTGGATGACTCAAGACAGACACAGGTCTGGAGCTGGGAAGCCAGGGTGGGGAGCTGGCTATGCAGGGCTACTTGGCTAAACAACTAACTCTGGAGCTAGCTAAGAACTGATAGTTGACCAAGAAATGTGGGGAGCATTAGTGCCCAGAAAAGGATGGATTTAGTGACAGAAGGCTAGGGTTTGAGCCCTTCTGCTGCTACTTTGAAGCAGAATAATTTGTCACTTAACTGCTCTGAACTTAAGTATTTTCATTTGTTACATATGAACATACTTGTCTCCTTTACCTCAAAGACTTTTTTGATTGCGGTTAAGACATGTTAATATAGGTGAATACAGTTTGTGACACACATGGGAGCTGGTTGAATAAGTGCCTGAGATACTGCACTGACTCTGACCTGGTTCTCATCAGTGCTGGGATATGTGTGTAGCCTGGCTCTGTCTCTTGCTCTGAGACCCAATCTTCTTCCTAGGCTGATTTGAGCTTTAATGGAATAATCCCTTCCTGGTCCATCCCAATCCTTACTGCCTTTTCCTCTTCTCTTTGCAGAATAGATCCTGGCCTTCTTGGTGCCTGACCTGGCCCCCACTGGCTTCTGCATGTCTGTTTGTTCTCCTGGATCCTGATTATCTCATTGCTCACACTGGGCCTCATACTTTAGCTGCTACTCCCGCATCCTCTCAGGAGTCTGAACACTGTACCTACACCTTGCTCTCAGGGCCAAGCACCCCCATTGTTACCTCAATATATGAGTTGTTGAGTTCCCTCTTGCAGGCGAAAATGAGCTTCCAGTTGCCCTGCACTCACCACTAACCCTTGACATTGGTTCTGGCCTTTCCTGCCTCTTCCCAACCTGCCTGGAATTCTCAGGCCTGTCACTTTGGCCAGATGTGCAGGCTATTTTTAAGGCAAGATCTATGTCTGTAAACAACATTAAAGGAATAAAACAATGGAAGGGAAATTTAAAAGGGAAAGTGGGTAGACACTTTTTTGGAGCTTGAGGATAACCTTAGAGTCTTTTTAAACTCTTTTTCTCAAGCTTCAGGTGACCACAACAAATAATAACGTCTCACTACTTTGCTATTTCTTGGTGAAAGTAGAGCATTAATTCAGGCTAGAGCAGGAAATAGGCAGGGAGAGAGTAGTAGCAGAGCAGTGTCCTATAATCCTAAAGCATTTTTATGACACTTAGAAAGACATGTTTCATCCTTTGATTGCCCCAGCAAAATACCTTTGTTGATTATTCTTATACAGCCTACCAACATGGTTGGCATTTAATGAGAGGAATCTCACAAATGCATATTACTTTATCCAAGGAAAAATTTATTGGTTACTGGGAAAAGGTCAAGAAAGAGGCAGAAAGAAGTTGGGGAGGTCCCAAACTGTAACTCATGCCAATCAGAAAATGTCTTCATTTTATCAACTGAGACTTTGGCACCTATAAGCCTAAGGTAAGGTGGAATGATACGAAGGAGAGAATCAAGACTTAATTGTAAAAATTGACAACTTTAGGCTCTTAGGCTAAGCTGAGTACTTACAATATGGCTACATGTACACTGTCTAATAAATTAGGTCTTTGTGTCAACGTTTGCCTCTCTTGATAGTTTATTGTATAAATTGGCATATGTTTCTATTAAGATATAGAAAGCAACTGCATTGAATGCCCCTAGTTAACCACTTATGAGAAGCAGGGAGCTGGGTTACTGTGTATATGATACTTTTGAATATTTGGGGGGAACTAAGGAATGTAATGAGGCTGGTTACACCTAATGCTATTGGACAAAATGGTGAAAGAAATGGATAACCTCATGCATATGAATTCTCAGCTTAATTACCACATAAATTGTTTGAAACTTCTATGTGTGCCCTGAAGAAGACCTTTATCTCCTGAGCTGCAAGACTGAGATTTCTGGACATCAAATGCAAAATCTTATTGTGTAACTGGCTGAATTACAAACAAGTTAAATCCACAACCTGGCAGAATGTCTACTCTTAAAATTTGAGCATTGACTGGAAAATAATGGGATCCTGTTAGTTGGAATGGGGATATGTGGGAAGAGCCTGATGAAGCTGGGGACATTGAACTCCTATATTCTGAGTATTCTTTGCCAGTAAAAGAGACCTCCCACCCCTGGTGGAAACAACCTCCCCAACACCAGCAGAGTGGCATCCCTACCCCCAGTGATATTGACCTTTCTACCCCCATCTGAGAGGATTAACCTTGTATTGTGTGAGGAAATTGTAATGGCTTCCCCTAAGACAGTAGCCATGCAAGACAACACTGTCTCTCCTCAGGATCCATCTCCACCACCCGTTTGCCTCTAGACTTATAACTAGACTCACATCTCAGAAGGTCCCTAAATGTGAGGTACAAAGTGTGACACATGACAAGGTGCACTACACTCTGAAAGAAATACTTGAGTTTTCTAATTTATTCAGACAGGAATATGGGGAACATGTGTGGAAATAGATACTAAAGGTGTAGGGTAATGGTGAAAGGAACATAAAGTTGGATTAAGCTTAATTATTGATAGGGGCTCACTAAGCATATATTCTTCATTTAATGTTGCAGCCCAGAGTGTTAGAAAGGGCTCTAACAATGTGTTTGATCGGATCACTGAAGCACGGATCAAAAAGTGGTATACACCACCTTGGTTTAATGTAAAGAAAGATATTCAAAGGCTTAGAAAAATTGGAATGTTAGAGTGGGTTTATCATTTAAGACCTACTCACCCACACCAGGAAGGTTCAGAAGATATACTTTCATCATGATTGTGAGAAATAATTTTTTTTAATTTTAAAATTTAATGATACATATTTGTGGGTTACAGTGTGTTGTTTCCATACATGCATATATTGTGCAATGATTCACTTAGGGGAGACAGCATATCCATCACCTGAGCACTTCTCTTTTCTTTGAGGTAATTATGGTCAAGATCCTCTTTCCTAGCTATTTAGAAATATACAATATAATTCTGTTAGCTCTAGTCAGGCTAAAAACACCAGAACTTTTCCTTCTATCTACCTGTAACTTTGTACACATTAATCCACCTCTCTCCCTCCTCCTCATCCACCTTCCCATCTTTGCCCCTGGTAAACATTATTATTCTATTCCCTACGTCTATGAGAACCATTTTTTTCCCCTAGATTCCACATATGAGTGAGATCTTGTGGTATTCATCTTTCTATGCCTGGCTTACTTCACTTAACATAATGGTCTGCAGTTCCATCCATGTTGCGGCAAATGACTGGATTTTTTTTAATAGCTGAATAGTATTCCGTTGTGTGTGTATGTGTATATATATATATATCACAGGTTTTTCTTTTTTTAAATCCCTTCATGTGGTGATGGGCATTTAGGTTGATTCAATTTCTTGGCTATTGTGAATAGTGCTACAATGAACACAGGAGTGCGGGTGTCTGTTCAATATATTAATTTTATTTCCTTTGGGTTTATACCTAGTAGGATTGTTGGGTCATAGGTTGTTCTATTTTTGGTTTTTGTGGAACCTATGTACTGTTTTCCATAGTGATTGTATGAATTCACATTCCCACCAACAATGTAGGAGGGTTTCCTTTCTCAACATCCTCACTAGCATTTGTTATTTTCTGTCTTTTTGATAATAGCCATTCTAACTGAAGTGGGATGATATTTTACTGTGGTTCAAGTTTTCACTTCCCTGGTGAGTAGTGATGTTGACCTTTTTTTTTTTTTTGGCTGTTGAGTTGTTTGATTCCTTATATATTCTGGATATTAGTCCTTTATCAAATGTGTAGTTTACAAACACTTTCTCCCATTCTGTAGGTTGTGTCTTCACTTTGTTGACTGTGTCCTTTGCTGTGTAGAAGCTTTTTAGTTTGATATGGTCCCATTAGTTGCCTGTGCTCTTGTAGTCTTGTTCAAAAAAGTGTTGCCAAGTCCAATTTTGCATAACATTTCCCCTATGCTTTCTTTTAGTAGTTTCACAGTTTCAGGTCTTAAATTTAGGTCTTCAATCCAATTTGACTTGATTTTTGTGTATGGTGAGAGATAAGGGTCAAGTTTCAATCTTCTGCATGTGGATATCCAGTTTTCCAAGGACCATTTATTAGAGAGGCTGTCCTTTCCCCACTGTATATTCTTGGCACCTTTTTCAAAAATGAGAGTGTGGCTTTGTTTCTGGGCTCTCTATTCTGTTCCACTTGTCTATTTGTTTGTTTTTATGACAGTATCATGCTGTTTTGTTTACTATAGCTTTATAGTATATTTTCAAGTCAAGAAGTGTGATGCCTCCAACTTTGTTCTTTTGTTCAAGATTGCTTTAGCTATACAAGGTCTTTTATTGTTCCACACAAATTTTAAGATTTTTT